GAATTTTGAACAAATTGTTTTGTTTGTTCAACTGCATGAAATCAGAAAGTACTTAAGAACTCTGAGTAAGACCCATGGACTACTTGATGATTCTATATATTGGGCATTTTCTTTTTAACATCTCTTTGCACTTGTAATAGGTTCTTTGCTAGGTTTTTCTTCTTGAGCATAACTGCATGATTAGTTCATGTGTCCAAGTATCCTTTTTCTTTTTGGCCAGGTCCAAGCATCTGATTCATTTGTACTTGTTATTGTCTATTTTCATTTTCCCCCTCAATATATATAGTATGTTTTAATGTCTTACATGGAATATGGTAAAATTATGTGACAATTCCACATGGCACAATATACTGCAGTTTTCTGGAAGATGCACAGATGGTAGAAGCTTTGCACGCAATTTCAGGGTTGAAAAGATGGACATGAAGTTTCTGAAGGAGAAGACAACTTCGAACCATCTTAAGAATTCTCAAAGCGGCAAATTGGTCAAAAAAGACTTCCCAAATATTGAAGGCAACAGGAACAATGATAAGCTGCTTCAGAAGCTTTTGGTTGAGGAGCATTCTGAAGATTTCGACATTGAGGAGGGTCAGATTATAGAGCAAGAAGGAAATAATGGAGATAATGTGGAAAAGAAGCTTGTTTCTGATATTGCAATCCGGATCTGTATTGTGAAGAAGAGTAGAGAATGCATTGGAAATGCTTCCAGTGGGAACAAGGATGCAAGTGAATATGACAATCAAAGGATTCTGGAAACAATGGCAAAGATGGAGAAACGAAGGGAACGATTCAAAGACCCTGATTCAAAAAAAGAGGAACCTGAAAATGCTCCTAAGGTTGAAGTTGAATTGGTAGACGACACCAGTGATGCAAAGCTGCAGAGGCCAGCCAGAAAGAGGAGGTGGGGAAGTTAGATTTCTATAGTAAATCTCACTATACTGTTTTACAGAATAGCATACAGGGTAATTATAGTCCTAGACCTTCAGGTTTCCTCAAAATGATTTGAATGTGTTGGAAATGGAGCTAACCATAATGGAAATTATGTGTTCTGATTTCTTAAACTTCTTTTTGAATTTAATCCCACTTTGCTTCTTGGTTATTAGCTGGAAATCTGTAGTGTGTTATTAATGGTGATTTTTGTAATAATTAAGACCTCTTTAAAATTTCCAAATCCATTTTTCCTTTTCTAATGACATGGTTGTGTGTGAATGAATTATACTTCCCAAGGCTTGACTGTCTACCCCCCCCAACAAAATTAAAGGGAAATATATTATGGACACAATAAGGATAGTTCTCATTTATCCCACGCTTCAGTGTAGTGTTGTTTTTTCTTTTTTCTAAACAAGGGCAATTGGAAAAAAAAAAATAAGGAGGTTGTTAGTGCAATATGATTAAAATTTTAATATTTATCAAGAGTTTAGTGCATCCAGATTAATACAGTTAAAGATTATGAGTGTCAGTATAATAGTTTAGATTCTTAATAAGTGCTGAATATCTTTTGTAAATTTTATTTTCCAGCTCTATAGATTTTTTTTTTCTTCAATCCTCATTTACTTAAATATGTATTCTTTTGTTTTAGTTCAAAAAAAAAAAAAAAAAGTAGTGATAATAAGGATAGTTCTCATTTATCCCACGCTTCAGTGTAGTTTTTTTTTTTTTTAACAAAGGCAATTGGGAGTAAAGAAGATAAGGAGGTTGTTAGTGCAATATCTTTAAAATTTTAATATTTAGTAAGAGTTTAGAGCATTCATACTAATATAATAAAAAATTATGAGTGCCAGTATAATAATTTAAACCCTTAATAAGTGCTGATTATCTTTTATAAATTCTATTTTCCAGCTCTGTGGATTTTTTTTCCTTCAATCCTCATTTACTTAAATATATATTATTTTGTTTTAGTTCAAAAAAAAAAAAAGAAGTTGTGATAATAAGGATAGTTCTCATTTCGAACTCCCTCCTTACCCCTCAGTAATCTATTTTAAATATCGGATAAGTTTGAGTGCTCAAGTACGCGACTGCTGAGTTTTCCATCATTTAATTATGTAAACATTTTTATATTTATAATAAAATAATTTTTTAATTTGAATTTAAAATTTTTTATCTATCTATTTAAACTTTATTAAGGTATAAAACATAAATAATTATCTTAAAAAAACCTCTTAAAACTAGGAAATTTATTTTCACGAAACAATTTCTGTTATTAGTGATGGCAAAACAATCATTCCATTCATCAATACTGCCATTTCTCCAAGAAAAAAAAAAGCTTAAAAATAAGCCAAAGGATATCTATTTATCAACAAAAATCTATGCCAATAAAATGCTTCCACGTGGCAGTAGAAAATCCGCCTCTCAGATTAAAAGCGCTAAGCCACACTGGAAACGAGTTACGTGGCTGATTTTAAACCATCGGTTCAAATATTAGATGACATAAATACCCTTCCATTGTAGACTAATTTCCGATTTTTGTCCCCCGCGAGATCCCTCGAAAACCCGCCTAACGGTTCTCCTCCATGCAGTTTTATCCGTTAAAAAGAAAACACAGAAAAGCAATGAAACTCTACTCTTCGTCTTCTTCATCTTCCTCAGCTCCCTCTGCAAACCCTAATCTTACCCTCTTCTCCCCATCTCAAAACCCTAAAAGATTTCAATTTAGAACAATTCAATTCAAAACTCACCACTCCTCACATTCCTTGTTAGCTGTCCCTCCATGTTCATACTCAAAAAACGTTTCTGTTTCTTCCACATTTGTCGATCAAGCTCCAAAATCACCTGTCCCGGAAGAAGAAGTGGGGGATCCTTCGGATGGGAAGAAAAAGTCAGAATCTTTCAAGAAAGTCTTGGTTGTTCGCCGGCCGTCGACGGATGTTTCCGATGAGGAATCATCCGTCATTGATGTGGGTCTTGAGGAGTTTGCTAAAAAGGTGCGGATTTTTGAGCCGTATGTGAGAGTGGAGTCGGGTGGAGCTCCGGAGAAGAGGCCACTCTCTGTGAACTTGGACTTGGCCTTGTACAGAGCCAAGCTTTTGGTGATGAAGTATAGGTACGATGATGCTGAGAAGATACTGGAGAAGGTATGGGAGTCTCTCTTTTTTTTTTTTTTTTTTTTTGCATATGTTGAATAATGGGTTTTATGTATTTGTTTGAAGTGTTTGTACTATTGGCCGGAAGATGGGAGGCCATATGTGATGTTGGGGAAGATATTGAGCAGGCAATCGAAAATGGCAGAAGCTAGAGCTGTGTATGAGAGAGGTTGCCAGGCTACTCAAGGGGAAAATCCCTACATTTGGCAGGTTTCTTTTTCCTTCTTTTCCCCTGATTTTTCAAATTCTAATGTGAAAATGGAGCTTTTCCTAGTGCGCCTATGGTACCAGTGGACAGGCCGGGCAAAGACCTAGATACCCATGTTGTTAAAAAAAAAAAAAAATCGAATGTGATTGCAATCTTTTCTTGGCTTTTAGAAATACTAATTTCAATGTTGTCAAAGGTTTGGGGCATTAGCAATGCTTGCTGATTAATAAGTTTGGAGAGTGTAATCAATGGCAGAAATGTTATTAAAATTCTGTTTTTGTATTAGTGACCCAGTTTTATAATAGTTAGGATCATAGTTTGGCATGGTTTTGGAGGTATTATCTTCCTTCCACCCACCTTAGATTAGAACTACGCTCGGTATTCAGAAACAGGATTTAGAAACAATACTGTAAAGTATCTTAACACTCAGGAGTGAGGGTTGTTTATCTTCAACTTAAGGGAGTAATGCCAAATGTCAAATGTGTTGTGGGAATACAAGCTATTCAAATATTGGATTTAATCAGGTATATGGTATTACTATATTCATTTCTTGCATACAAAGTTGACAAATCACAGAAACTCTTGGAACAGTGCTGGGCTGTACTGGAGAATAGGATGGGAAATATAAGAAAGGCAAGAGAACTATTTGATGCAGCCACAGTTGCTGATAAGAGACACGTGGGGGCCTGGCATGCATGGGCAGTTCTAGAGCTAGAACAAGGAAATGTCAAGAAGGCAAGGCAACTTCTTGCTAAAGGTCTCAAGCTGTGTGGGGGAAATGAGTATATCTACCAAACACTTGCTTTGCTGGAAGCTAAAGCAAATCGCTATGATCAGGCTCGATACTTCTTCAGAAAGGCCACAAAATGTAATCCAAAAAGTTGTCCCAGTTGGCTTGTAAGTCTTTCTTGTAGTGTGCCTTGACTTATCTAAATGAACTGCACATCCTTTGTTTACAGGTTTGCCTTTAATTAATTATTTCTTCTTGGTTCTTTGATAATCTTCTAACATAGGAATGGGCACAATTAGAGGTACAGCAAGAAAACTACCGTGCTGCCAGGTTACTATTTGAGGTAATCATTTGAAATTAGGATGGTTATAACATTTTGTTTTAGTGGAATGAAAGCCGAGCATATGCAAAACCTCTTTCTTCGTCATATACATTCATGAGCATTGCATGTTGATGACTGGTGCTGTGCATCATGTGAAGCTTATTCCTTTCTTTCTTCTTTCTCATAATTTTGTGATTCTGACTGAAATTTTTATTGCTTTCTGATCTGTATAGAAAGCAGTACAGGCAAGTCCAAAGAATAGGTTTGCATGGCAATCATGGGGAACTTTTGAAGCTAATATGGGGAATATTGACATTGGAAGAAAACTTTTAAAGATAGGTCATGTAGTTAATCCAAGAGACTCTGTTATCCTTCAGTCGCTTGCATTATTGGAATATAGACACTCAACTGCAAATATTGCCCGAGTTTTGTTCAGAAGAGCTGCTGAACTGGACCCAAACCACCAGCCAGTGTGGATGGTTAGAAATTTCTTCCAAAATTGAAGATATCTATGTAGCCAAGTCTTTTTGTTTTTTTGGCCAAAAATTTAGCCAAGTGAGAATTGTTTGTCTTTATAGTTTCCATCCTTTCCAGATTTGTATTGTACAAATGATGGAAATATAATCTTTGGTGAGCATTAGTGAACATTTCATTTTTCCTTTTTATCTGATTATTTGATTAGAAATAATTTATTAGGATGCACAATGGATAAAACCACTTTCTAGTGGCTATATTACTAAAGTTCTTCTACAACAGCAAAAAATGTACAATTTCCTTTCTGTCATTTATTTTGCTTTGCAGACTGTTGTCCTTTGCTGTTAGAATTCTGATGAAGTTTTGGTTGGTTAGGCTTGGGGATGGATGGAATGGAAGGAAGGAAATATTGCGACTGCAAGGGAATATTATCAAAGACTACTATCAATTGACTCAACTAGTGAAAATGCTGTTCGATGTCTACAGGTAATGATACAAGCAGAAATAAATTTCAGTCCTTCTTTATGGCCTTGTGCATTTGCTGAAATTCTAATTTCCATTTGTTACAGGCATGGGGTGTTCTGGAACAAAGAGTGGGTAACTTTTCAGCAGCTCGAAGATTATTTAGATCCTCTATCAGTCTAGATTCTGAGAATTATGTAACATGGAAGACATGGGCAGCAATGGAGGAAGATCAAGGAAATTTTGTTCGTGCTGATGAAATCCGTAAGCTATATTCCCAGCAGGTCAGCAATTACTTCTGTTCACGACACTTTGACCTTATGAATGTTTTCTAATCTCCTTAATCTTCATCTCTGTTGCCATGTGTGACAGCGTACAGAAGTTGTGGATGATCCTTCATGGGCTATTGGACTTTCAGATGCAATTGACCCGGCACTAAACACCATAAAGAAATTACTGAACTTGGACCAAAATTCAAGTAAGAAAGCACAGGAACCTCCCAAGAATGTTGAAGGAGGTAACGAAAACAGCATTGATGAACAGTCAGTGAATTCATCTACCCGTCATCATGATGGCAGTTACACACAAAATGATGGAAGTAGATTCAATTTGGATGCTTTCATTCGGGAAAGGTTATCATTGGATCCATCTAAGCTGGATGATCTGTTTGAAACCTCTTTAAATCCGGCTCCTAAGAAAGTTAAAGCTCCAAGAAGGATTCAGAGATTAGACAAACTGGAAACTATATTTGGTCAATTACTCCAAAGAAATTAAAATCTAACTTGTATAGGTATAGTGTACAATGTTTACCCATACAAGCAGTTGTAAATGTCAATTTGCATGTATTTCTCTGAACAGGCATCCATATATCTGAGGTTCTGGAACTGAGATTTTGCTTTATGACCATGGCTTATCTATGTAAGAATCATTGTGCTAGACAAGAAGAATAGGTTATGTATTAACTGAAGCTTATATGTATGAATATTTGATTGCAAAAGATTAGCATCTGAAAAACATAGATGGATACACAACAGATTTTGAACTTTATGCTGCACGCATTCTTTCTTCTTTTTCCTGTACATGTATCATTCATTTCAAGACATGTACATGTATCATCCTCCATGTGTTTTCTTTTCACTGATATGCAGTAGTCGGGGATGATCTCCACGTTAATGGAGGGCTTAAAGTATACTCCAAGGGCTGCTAGGCAATTGTTGCGAGTTTTGTCACAGTAGCCATAAAACTCACCAAACTGCCCTGAGTTTCCAGACTGAAAATCAAAGTGGTGAGCATTTGTAGTAGGGGGACCAAAGGTCCGTAGCTTCGTTAATTGGAAGTAATTGTCAGAGAACTGAGTTGAACGTTAGGCAAGCAGTCACCATGTATCCTAGTGAGAAACTCTGATGGATGTTTGAGCCTTACCTGCTTCAAACACAGCAAATAGCAATGCCAATACTTTGTTTTCCCTTTTTTTTTTTTTTTTTTTTCAATGCAAAGAAAGGCTGAGAGACCATACCAGATTGAGAGACCAGACCAGATTGAATTTTGGACCTTCGCACATTCCATGTACCTAAGACATCACCAAAGTTCCCTTCACAACATACTGAAATTGAATG